AAGGTATGAAAAGTGAAGAAAGGAGGAAATAAATCCAGGCGATGATGAATAATTTGAATGTAGAAATGAAGCTGTTTCAGGAGTGAGTGAGATACCGCACAAGGAGCAGCCATGGGGAGCGTACAATTAGGTCACCCAAAATAAAACGCTATCCTCCAGAAAGTCTTTCTTGGAGTTGTCAAATTCAATATATTTCACTGCCAACAGAATTCTTGATTTGGCTGTGAAGTGAGAGGGCGAAAGAAAGAGAGTGAAGGCCTATTTGAGGGAGCGACGGCTCAGGACCACGTACGTCTCATAATTTATGTAAAAAATGGGACTTTTTCATTTAAAGTCAGACTCTCCTCCGAGGAGGGACAGAGCCGTGTTGTCTAGCATGTGTTAAGGAGCATGACGTGCTTGTGCAACAATACCTGGTGTTCTCTGAGTTTATGAAAGCACGCAGGGACGCTGCTCGCTCTCAGTGGCTGCGCATTAGATTTAATGACACTCAAAAAGAGCCCAAGCCATGGAGCACGCATGTGGTCGCCGCGGCACCTCGTGTACATGGAGCGTGGTAACAAAACTTTGGGGCGATGGAAAGTTTACAAAGCATCAATGCGCTGACAAAAGTCAACAAACAGCCCCAGCCAGCCCTCTCTACCTCTCTCCTTCTCTCCACACGACACCCAACAGGAAGGCGAGGCTCCTCCGGAGAGCACGATACGGCACGTCTCCAGGTGACAGATATGTCACACCACCTAAAACCCCGTGGCACAATTATACCTCTGTCGCTCTGAAGGGAGAGGGGAGGAGGTGGGGAGGTGAAGGAGTGGGGGAGGAGACGGTGGGTACAGAGCGAGAGTGAGTGAGTGAGAGGAAGAAGTGGAGGGTGTGCGGGGTTGGTGGTGCTGGTGGATGCTTTACTCCTGGCTTATTCAAAGAGACAGCCCAAGGGATGCCTCTCGCTCTTCTAACAAAGCACTTCTTCTTTTTTTTTTTTTTTAGCCTTTTTTGTTTTTTTCTTGAGTATTGCTGGGTGCGCTCCAGTCAAATCCTCTGGGCCCCAGTCTTCCCCCACAGCCATTTGAGGATGCCTCAGAAACTTTTTCTCGCAGACATTGGGGCCTGTTTCAGTGCTGATGTTTCAAATGAATAATCCAATGCTGCTGTGGCCATGCAGAGGGTTACTTGGGGAGCGGGGATAGATGGCGGTTTCATGTCAGACTCACAGCTGAGGGAGTGTCACTTAATTCATTGTAGTGAGCTGCTCAGCGGTGACAGCATGTTTTGGTCGCTTTTAGGTAATTTTGTAAAAATCCTGATGAGCTTCTCGTTGGCTCAAACTTGGCGAAAAAAAAGGTAAAAAATTTCCCTCAATGCAAATAAAATATTATGTCTCTGTTCACACACACACACACACACGCACACAGTTTGTATTAGCTCCTTCTGACATGTGATGACTTGGGAGTGCCTAATACGGGCCCACGGCTTTAACAATGCATGAGTGAGGGAAAGAGAGAGGGGACGTGCTCGCACTCCAACTAGGTCAAACTGTCTAAGGAACAAAACAGAACAGACCTCAAGTTTGCGGAAATCATTACAGGAAAACAAACTTGTCACTCGCTTGACACCCTTGACTGTTTTGCTTTCCGAAGCAGAGAACGATAATAATAATAATAATAAAAAAAAAAAAGAAATCTCCATTGCAAATTAGTCTCTATGGTTGTGAAGTTTTCCCCCGTTTGAAATGCATATCAAAAAGCCAGCCAAAGCCACAACTTACCTTGTCGTTGACATCGGGGGACAGGAGAAGAAAAAGCACTTTTCTCTTCGAGAGCTGGTTTCGATTGTATACACAAGCCCCACAAAGGAAGATAAACCAGAGGCACACATTCATAAAATATACATTTGCTTCTTTGTCTTTCGTTAAGATCTTCAACAAATAGTGCTGATGCAAGAAGGACAAAAAGAGAGAAGGTTACGGGGTGTTTGAGAAACAGAGTTGCAGCAGCATGACTTAACCCCTGTCTCACTGTACTTTATTTATGAATTACTGCTAATCATGAAAAGAGGTTCATTTATTCTTAAAGCAGCTTTAAGGGCATTTTCAGCGCTGTTTGCAACACTTTGTCTCATTCTAGAAAGCAGGCGACTTCAGTGTGAAGCAGCTTTACTCACCTAGCACGATGTATCTCCACAAGAGTTTGACAGACGACGCTTAATTTGTCATTATGGTGTAATTAGGGATGTCAACAGTTAACTGCTGAAAATATTTTTGACTGTTAACACCTGTCAGTCTATACTTTAATTTGCAACATGAGCTCATCCCTACTTGTCACACTGACATTATTATAATGGTGGGGGCCGCCTTTTAGGTTGTATCTTGACACGAAAGGTCAGTGAGGGGTTGGCAGTTTGGTTTAGGCAACGAAATTACATAGTTATGGTTAAGAAAAGATTGTGGATGCTGGCCTTGAGTGGCACAATCGCTGCAGTGAGAAGGGGTCAGTGGTGTAGTGGTAGTTGATGAGCTGGGTGTACTACCAGGTAGATGGGTAGGTTACCGAGGAGGAAGAAGGTTTACTCTCCTATATATTCCAGTGGCTTTTTAGGTGTGTATACAGTAAACGGGCAGAAAAAGAAACCCTGTATACCAGTGTATACACACCACTACAATACTGGTGGGCGGTTTGCTTTAGGCCACAAAACTACTTAGTTATTATTAGAAAAAGATCACAGATGTCACAAGGAAACATCCAACTTTGAGCAGCACAAATGCCACAGCCGAAATAGTTGTTTGTTGGTCTCAATCACTGGTCTCCTGGGTCAAAGTCCGGGGTTTGTTGGACCCATCGACCTCGCCTTCCACCTACCCTGAGCAGACTGTCACGCTCTCTAAACTACGTTCGTTGCTCTGAGAGTCTAACAGTAGTGGGGTTTCCATCCAAATGTATCGAAATTTTTGAGCGAATTTTGTGAAAATGTGCAAAAGAAAATGCAAATTTATGCCCGTTTCCATTCGTTATTGTTTTGCGATTATTGGGAGTCAACAGGAAGAGCAGTAGGTGGCGCTTCTCGTGAAAAATGAACAAAATAAAAACAACCCCGTAGAAGAAGAGTGCACCATGAGATGACGTCATAAGAGAGCGTCTTATGCCCACTGTTAACAACAACACAGTATTTCACACAATATAGAGGACGAAAGGGCTATTGGTAAACATTGGTTCCTTAAATATACTGCGTTATAGCTCAAATTATGTGGATGCTTCATGAATTCAACAGCCTGGAATGTGGGCGCTGAGTGTTTTAGAGTTTATATTTCAAGCAATTTGCCGTTTTATCCATTCATTCAGCGATCTGCGAATCACAAATGGGACTACTAGCATGCTGGTCGCTAACTTACGTCAGTCACCCTTTCGTCCTCTAACGTTATAATACCATTACCTTACCTGAGCTGTTGATCAAAGAGTTGATAGATGTAACCAGAGGTCTTTGGCCCAGAATTTCGTCCATTAGCTCAAAATACCTGAAGTTGGTTTTAGCTTTCCCTCCCTCACCGCTGGTAGCCATCCGACGCCTCTCAGCCATGTAGCACTGTTTCAAACTCTTCCACTTGCTTCTTAGTATTTGCCATTGTTTGTCAAAGCCTTTATCCATCATTTGCTTCTGTAGCTATTGATACACGGTCGCGTTTCTTTGCTGTTTTCTGTCTAGTATGGCATTAATGTTCGCTTCTTTTATTAATTGAAGAAAAATTTCGGTTTCTTCGTCCATTTTTCATGTTAACACCATGGCGCAGAAGTGTGACGTGATATCCGGTACGTCATCGTTTATTCGCAAAACCTGTTTCCATAGCAAAAAGTCGCATTTTACTTTTATCGATACACTGACAAATCCATCCCCTCCAAGTGTAAAAACTTTTTTGCAAATTTTTGGCGTTTCCAAGTCATTTTTTTTCGCAATTTTTGAAAATGCAAATAAAAATAGGTGGATGGAAACCCCACTAGTAACATGGATTTTAAACTTTGGAGTTCATGAAAAGCCTGCTGCACCTCACGCAGACGCTAAACCATGTCCCAGGGGTCACCATTATGACGTCAGAAACATGGCCCAAGCGGCATGTTTTGAAGCCCTGGGAGTGAGACCAGGCTGAAACGCTATCCTGCCATATCACTTTAAGAAAAAGCTTATAACGTATTCAGCTGCTTGTTAATCTGCTGCCCAATCACCACAAGAAAATGTTGGCATCGTACTGGAAACCATGAATACGTTACATTTGCACTTTACGTTACATTATACACACATGTTCAAAGAACTCATAGCAATCTACTCTATAAAAATTATATGCGATATATATGTTATATAAAAATATATGTTTCCTTTCTATTAACTATAAAACCACAAATAAACTATAAAAAATATTTAACTGAATGAATGCTCTCTTACTTTATTTTCTGTCACATACAGATTTGCACTGATGATTGCTTGGTAATATGTGCTGGGGCCCGTCTTAACTACCATACACCACTGATGGGTGTTTTCAGCAGCACATCGCAGTGTTTCAACCAGTGTTCTTGGCACCAGAGTGTTTCTTAGCGAAGCAGAGGTGTGTTTAGGGGCACATCCTTGCATTTCACAGAGGCGTTTGTGGCGCTGACCCTGGGTGTGTTTTTTTTTTTACCAAACATAGGTGTTTTTAGGGGCAAATCACGGCGTTTCCCTGCATCATTTGAGCCACCAAACCTGAGTGTTTTTCATTGACACATGGGGGCATTTACCAGCTGCGTTTGAGCCACCAAACCTGGGTGTTTTTCACCAACCTGTCCCTGCTTTTCCAACAGAATGTGCTCTGTGGGTATTTTAAGCCAAAACATGATCTTTTCCTAACCATAGTTACAATGCAGACATTTTTTCTGGCGACTGGGCTGTAACTAGGTAGCTCTGTCAGCATGGCTAATGCTACTTTAGTTAACAATGCTGAAGGGGTTTTGCAGCTCAAAATGCAGCTGCTTACTCACCTGGGCCACCTGGGGAGGGACTGAAGGGTGGACACCATGTTTCCCCAGCAACATCATCCCACCACTATGGGTCCAGCAGTACCAGCGGTAATTGCAGGTGCTGCTAGCAAGCTCCCCCGTACCTAGGTAGCAGCAAAAGCTAGGGTGGGCGGTGGGCGCCATGTTTCTGCCCGTCTGTCAACAAAGCCAACAAAAAATAAAATTAAAAACAAGACATTTACAACACAAAATATTAACATCTCACCTTCTGTAAAGTGACAGCGCCAAATGTGCACTGAGCCAGTGGAGCGCTGGACTTAAAGAAAAGGCCTCGTTTATTTCACACCATTTTGTGTTTTTGTTTTCTTAAAAATAAACCCATTAGTTACTGGTTAATGGGTGTTGGGCATTCGAAAGTAATATTAACCGAAACCGACATCCCTGGTTGTAATACATGATGATTGCGAGGTATCACCTATTTCCTGGTAGTTTATTAACACCTGTCACCTGCATTTCTTTGCACATACAGTCGCTACCCAGCGAACCATGTAGGGCATCTGCTCCTCACCTCGTCTGTCCAAGCCTGCCTCCATGGCCATGCTACAACTATGTGTGTGTGTGTGAGAGAGTTTGTATGCATGTGTGTATGATTGCCGGTACAGGAGAGAGCGGCGGGAGTGACAGCGCCCCTTCCCAAGGTCACGTCCAAGGAGAGACGAGCCAATTACTATGCAGATCAGAGCTGATGGCGTTTAAGGGGATTGCTCCGATGCAATCACATTAGCTGGCCAGAGAGGAATCTCCAGGCTGACCCCAATCACAGGGGCTACAGCGCCGGGGTCAGCCAGGATGGAGGACTGCCGCCCATGTTTTCTTTTCACAAAACACTTTTTCCTTATCTCGAGCAGGCACGTGATTATCAAGCCAAACAACCCCAGGCTTCCTACAGGCGTGCACTTGCATATCTTTTTTTTTTTTTTTTACTTAAAGAATGCATATGGATTGCAACACATACAGTACATAGCAGTGGGCATTTTGGGTGAAAAATAATGCTGCTTGATGTCCGACTGACGGATCCACAGCCACACAAACACAAGCCAACGATGCTCACAGTTGACCACAGTTATCCACAAACATATTCTCACTTTTCTTGCCATCTATTTCTCCCCCGCTCCTCTCTTTCTCTCCCACTCGTCTTTCAGGTGAACGCCTGTCTGTGATCTGCTGCGGTCTTGGAGGGCAGATTGCAATTTACTCTCTCCCTGTGGGTGAGGTGTGTGTGTCCAGGTTGTAAATATGCCTCCTCTATCTCTCTCTTTTTCTTTTTTTTTCTCTTTTCTCCCTCTGTTGCACCCTTTCTCTCCTCCGTCAGTAGTTTCCCTGCTGCCCGTATGGCCAGTAATGAGACTGAGTTTGATCAGGTCGCCTCGCTGTTCCTGGAAAGATCTCACTTGAGCCACTGGCCCGTAATGGAATCTGCATCTAATGCATACATAAATCACACCTCTTTCAGGACATTTTCATATGCATAATGTCTTTCAACCCCCCCCCCTTCTTCTCATTCCTCTTTCTCTCTCTTTCCACCCAATGAGCTTTGTATGGAGGGATGGGGGGAGAGGTGGCGGTGGTGGTGGGGATGGTGGTGGAGAGGAATGGCGAGATAGAAAAAGAGAGAGAGGTGATGAGTCCCTCTTTTTTTGTGCCTTTTTTAAAGCAAGAGAGAGACCCGTCTGTAATTCTGTCCTGTCTATTGTGCTGACAAGACTGGCTGAGTGGTGAGATGATGCTAAGATTGGGGAGGATCTTCTTTAGGTGGCTGCTCGACATCTGTTCTCACTGTCTGTATCCTGTGTGAATGTGTGTATGTGAAAGACAGAGCGACAGAGAGAGGAAGAAAGAAAGAAAGCAGCCGAAAGGGAAGAAGAATAAATAATAATAGCTGAAAAAAAAGGGAAGAGAATTTGTCAATTCTGCACATTGGTTGGACTTTGGGTAGATTTGAGAAGGACGGTCGCTATGGCCTCTTTCTCTCTTTCTACCTCTCTGTGTCTCTCTCCTCAGAGGCTTTGTTATGTTAATGCAGACGGATGTGGCAGATTCACAGTGATTTTTCATCTGCCGGTGACGAGAGATAAAAGGCGAGTGACGAGGTGTCGCGATCGTCCTCACTGTTCGCCTCTCAGTCACTAACAAGCTTCTGCATTGTACCTCCGCCATTTTCCACGTGCTCCATTTGCATGTGCAAGCCTCAACTTCATCCTCCCTCCTAAAAGTTTATGCCTTCTCGTTAGGGCCACGTAGGTGTGAGATTAAAATGTTGGGCACACTTTCATTTTCATAAGCGTACTGACTGAGGGAGTGTGTGCTTTTCTATGTGTGTGGCTGCTTGTGCGTGTCTACATGTGCAGGGCACATGTGCATCTGTGCGTGCTGTAAAGGAGATATTACCATACAGCATCTATGCTAGTGAATGTTATTTATTTATTTGAGTGCCTCCTAAGTACGTGGCACTTTTTTTTTTCCCTCCCCCCCTGTAGGTGCTCTGCATCTCTTTAGATGATACAAGCTGCCATATCAGCACAGGCTAACCCATTCTTAATCACATTTGCATTTTTATTTTGAGATATTCCTCAAACGTTTGCATTATTGAGGATTTATGATGAGCTCTTCGCCTGATCCTCCATCAACTTCACTCATAAAGAAGGTTCTCCATAACTCATAGGCGAGTGGAATATGCTGTCCCCCTGAAGTAATTAGATAGCAGAATTCTGATATGGAAAGTTTGAATAAATCACTTTGTTTATGAGTGCTGAGGCCTTGAGAACAGGGGAGTCAAAAGCGAGCCCTATTCACACCATGCAAATAGGAAAAGAGATTCCCAGAGTGGAGTTTTGCCACAGTGCTGCTGAAGTGACTTTAATCTCTAGACATTAAACATCTTGTAGAAGATGATTCTGGTTTGATACACATTGGTTTCATTTTTAGAGTTCAGGCCAGTGTTTCTTTCCATCGTGATAACATTGTTCTCACTAAAGTAACCGCTGATATCTGGGAACACGGCAGTATTGCTATGTTTGACTCTGTGTTTGGAGGGAAAACCGTAAGTGAGTGCAACCCAAATTCTGCAAAGGAAAACTGTTTGTGCACAACTACAGTAAATACGGTAAGTCAAAGTTGAACCAGGAAGTGCCAGCTAACAGGAATGGCTATGAAGATATCAAGTAGAAACATCCAGGGCTGAAAATTGGAGCTGATGCAAAAGTGCCACTTGAGGGTGGCTCCAGTAGTCTGTCAATCTCCATAGACCCCCACGTTAAAAGGAAATAAACATGTTTACAGCCTGGTGCGGAAACAGTTTTGGCCTCTATAGCTAATTTCAACATTTACGAAAATTCTAAGGGGGTGAATTTTCACATAACTCACCCTTTTAAATGTTATTAAGGCTTAAAGTTACGCATAATTAAGGGCATGGTCACAAAGTGACAGGTTAGGGCTGTCCCTTGAAAAGTCGCCAGTATGGTGTCAGCACTGGTAAGGTAACGTAATCATGGTGTAGGCCAGGGCTTGGCAACTTTTTCTAATACAAGAGCCATTTTTTGCCAAAAAAAGACAAAAAAAAATAATCTGCCTGGAGCTGCAAAACATATTTGAACAGCCTATTGAGTCTAAATTAGCCCATCAACATTACGAATATGTCTAAATGAGCATTCATTAATATGATTTATTACAAGGTGGCAACAGTGCAGTGGGCTATTTATTATTATTTAGTACTTTAATTTTGCAGCGTTGGTGGTTAAAGCAAATGAATCTGTCCACATGTTATTAAATCCTCTATTTTCCTCAAAGATGTATCATTTTTTGGATTTGGAATCCATAGCTAGCCTTGCTAAAGAGACTCTAGGCTACTGAACTTCAGTCAAATTTAGGGGAAAAGGCACCAGGTCGTAGACGTATGACGAGGCCACAGGGAGCCAGTGGAGATGGTCTACAGAGCCACAGGTTACCTACTCCTGGTGTAGGCCCATACAGAGTATAGGCATAGCCCTAGCTGTCACTATTTCAGTGTGTTTCCAGTTCATGAAAGGTAATTTTTAATGTTTTGGTCATCTAAAAATGTCTTGTTCAGCATTTGGTTTATATTTAAAGATACTCAAAGGAGTCAGTTGTTCAGTTTTTCCAGTGAGTACATTTTGTTTTGGTTTAAACATGACTTCTGTTGGAGGGAATTAGCCATAGCTGTAACTGTGCAAACCCAACTAGAAGCTAGCATTAACTAGCCCCACCCTTTCGTCCAAATATGGTCACTTCTGGCTCCAAAAATCCAAGATGGCGATGGCAAAAAAGCAAAACTAGAGGCCTGAAAACTGGAGCCTACAAACCGATGGGTGATGTCATGGTAGCTACATACATTGTTTCATTCAGTCTATGGCGGAAATGTTGGTGCAGTGGCCACAGTTGGAACCGCAGGTCACAATGAATGGTGAGGTCACCTGATGATGTCATCAGGGTCATTTTAAGTTGGGCTGAAAGACTACAAATTCATAACTGGAAGCCTGAGTTACAAACACAGGGCATGGTGTCTAAAAGGAGTGGGTGCTCACAGAGCAGAGGTGGTCTTATAAAAGATCCAGTTAGGTTGCATTATGGGAAATATAGTATCCAGAGTTTTTGGAGCTTGACAGAAGTTAAGACATCCTGACTTTTGCTGGTTCAATTCTGATTGTTGTTTTTTGGATCTTTTTTAATCTTTTGAGCGTTCTTAACATTACGAAAGTGACATCAGATCACCATGAGTACTATTTTAATACATCCACAGTTTCACTGTGATGGATCTCAAACTGTTTGGCATATTTACTGTTCACCTTTCTTTTGTTTTTGGACCTGACAGTGTATTGTCTGACTGTGTTTTTTAGTAATATGTTGCCGCATACCAAGATCTCAGCCATTAACATGGTGAGTACAATGTTATTATTACTGATGATGATGTGAAGAATGATAGCAAAAACAATTCATTAATCCCCAGGTCATCAAATACCAACGCCCCTTGGCATTTAATATCAATGCCAAAGGCACCCTTTAGCGTCTTTATGAGACCAACCAGGCCAATGTAAATGCATCCACAGGAAACTTGACGCTGAGAGCAACTGCGAGTAAGAGCGATAAAGTCCGCATAGGGTGGTTGAGGTGGATGGGTC